TATTGTCTAGTCTTTTGTCTAGTCTATTGACTAGTTTATTATCTAGTCTATAGTCTAGTCTATAGTCATGTCTATAGTCTAGTCTATAGTCTAGTCTATTGCCTAGTTTATAGTCTATAGTATAGTTTATAGTCTAGTATATAGTCTATAATCTAGTCTATTGTCTAGTTTAGTCTATAGTCTAGTCTATACTCAAGTCGATAGCCTATATTCTAGTCTATAGTCTACTACTATAGTATAGCCTATAGTCTAGCCTATAGTCTAGCCTCTGTAGTCTAGTCTATGGACTAGTCTACAGTCTAGTCTATAGTCTAGTCTATAGTCTAGTCTATAGTCTAGTCTATAGTCTAGTCTATAGTCTAATCTAGTCTATAGTCTAGTCTATAGTCTAATCTAGTCTATAGTCTAGTCTAGTCTATAGTCTAGTCTAGTCTGTAGTTTAGTCTAGTCTAATCTATAGTCTATAGTCTAGTCTAGTCTGGTCTAGTCTATAGTGTAGTATAGTCAAGTCTATATTCTAGTCTATAGTGTAGTCTATAGTCTAGTCTATAGTCTAGTCTATAGTCTAGAGTAGTAGTCTAGTCTAGTCTAGTCTATAGTCTAGTCTATAGTCTAGTCTATAGTCTAGTCTATAGTCTAGTCTATAGTCTAGTCTATAGTCTAGTCTATAGTCTAGTCTATAGTCTAGTCTATAGTCTAGTCTATAGTCTAGTCTATAGTCTAGTCTATAGTCTAGTCTATAGTCTAGTCTATAGTCTAGTCTATAGTCTAGTCTATAGTCTAGTCTATAGTCTAGTCTATAGTCTAGTCTATAGTCTAGTCTATAGTCTAGTCTATAGTCTAGTCTATAGTCTAGTCTATAGTCTAGTCTATAGTCTAGTCTATAGTCTAGTCTATAGTCTAGTCTATAGTCTAGACTATAGTCTAGTCTATAGTCTAGATCTATAGTCTAGTCTATCTAGTCTATAGTCTAGTCTATAGTCTAGTCTATAGTCTAGTCTATAGTCTAGTCTATAGTCTAGTCTATAGTCTAGTCTATAGTCTAGTCTATAGTCTAGTCTAGTCTAGTCTATAGTCAAGTCTATAGTCTAGTCTATAGTCAAGTCGATAGTCTAGTCTATAGTCAAGTCGATTGTCTACATTCTAGTCTATATTCCAGTCTATATTCTAGTCTATAGTCTAGTCTATAGTCATGTCGATAGTCTATATTCTAGTCTATAGTCTAGTCTATATTCTAGTCTATAGTCTAGTCTATATTCTAGTCTATAGTCTAGTCTATAGTCTAGTCTATAGTCTAGTCTATAGTGTAGTCTATATTCTAGTCTATAGTCTAGTCTATATTCTAGTCTATAGTGTAGTCTATAGTCTATCTATAGTCTAGTCTATAGTCTAGTCTATAGTCTAGTCTATAGTCTAGTCTATAGTCTAGTCTATAGTCTAGTCTATAGTCTAGTCTATAGTCTAGTCTATAGTCTAGTCTATAGTCTAGTCTATAGTCTAGTCTATAGTCTAGTCTATAGTCTAGTCTATAGTCTAGTCTATAGTCTAGTCTATAGTCTAGTCTATAGTCTAGTCTATAGTCTAGTCTATAGTCTAGTCTATAGTCTAGTCTATAGTCTAGTCTATAGTCTAGTCTATAGTCTAGTCTATAGTCTAGTCTATAGTCTAGTCTATAGTTTAGTCTATAGTCTAGTCTATAGTCTAGTCTATAGTCTAGTCTATAGTCTAGTCTATAGTCTAGTCTATAGTCTAGTCTATAGTCTAGTCTATAGTCTAGTCTATAGTCTAGTCTATAGTCTAGTCTATAGTCTAGTCTATAGTCTAGTCTATAGTCTAGTCTATAGTCTAGTCTATAGTCTAGTCTATAGTCTAGTCTATAGTCTAGTCTATAGTCTAGTCTATAGTCTAGTCTATAGTCTAGTCTATAGTCTAGTCTATAGTCTAGTCTATAGTCTAGTCTATAGTCTAGTCTATAGTCTAGTCTATAGTCTAGTCTATAGTCTAGTCTATAGTAGTCTATAGTCTATATTCTAGTCTATATTCTAGTCTATAGTATAGTGTATAGCCTAGTCTATAATCCACTCTATAAAAAATTTACACCCTCCCTAATAATGTTCACCATGTATGTATAAAAAATATATCTTCTGCAAAAAGTACTTTTAATTTGAAAGAAAAACTTTAAGGCAAAAATAATAATAATGCACATGAGTTTATGTTTGAAAATTTCATATAAAAACTGTTCCCCCTTTAGGTAATAAAACAATTTTCAAAATTAGTTTTGCAGAAAAACAATTTTCATATGCAGACGAAATGTAAGCAACTCTCACCGAAATTTAGATAAAATTTTTAAATTATAAGGTTGAAAATTTACAAAAAACAGTGAGAGAAATTTTGCACAGAATAAAAGATTAAAATTATATGATAATATTTGCTCTTTAAGAAATATATTTGTTCTAATTGTAATTAACCGTTTGTTCTCATTGTATGCTAACGTAATTTATGGCAACAGTCCAGTCCCATTTTCTAAGTTGAGTTGTATTTTTTCAAAATTTATAATTTCCTTTTTTTTGCTCCCGCTTTCCGGCTCTTAGATTTATTGAGCATACAGGCATAAAATTGCGATAAGCCAGGCGAGCGGGCACACAACCACTGGGATTATGTGCAGCGCATTAAATACATGTTGTGTTTGTAGTTTATGCCCCATAGCTGTTGTTGCACTAATCATAATTGTAACCACGAGCAGTAAAATAAATGACATTTAAATTACACAAGATAAACGATTTCAAGTGCAAAATCATTGAATTTGAAAAATATGACAATTTTTCTGCTTATTTGCATTAAATAAGATTTCGAAGAGTAGTTTGTTTTTTTTTTTGTCTTTTTTGCTTTGTAGTATTTTAACAGAAATGACAGAAAACAGGCTCCTTTCACTTGTTTTTGTTGTTGTTGCTGTGTGCATCAGACAACATGCTGCATAGCAAAAGTTACAAAAGCAAAAAATAAATACGCAAACACAAAAAAGGCGCCACAATTTCAATCTGTAAGGCGTTTGTTAATGAGCCACCAACCAACATAAATGCCGCATACAGGCGGCTGTGGCTGCAGTAACATAAAACTATTTTAAAAGCTTAAGCTAGGTATGTGACCATCATAAAAATTACGGAAAATTTTGACAGGGATAAAATTAACCTAAGGGAATTAATATAATCGTGTAGTCATTGTCTGTTTATTGGACTATATAATATACTATAGACTGGACTATAGATTAAACTGTAGACTAGACAATAGACGAGACTATAAACTAGACTATAGACTAGACTATAGACTAGACTATAGATTAGACTATAGACTAGACTATAGACTAGACTATAGACTAGACTATAGACTAGACTATAGACTAGACTATAGACTAGACTATAGACTAGACTATAGACTAGACTATAGACTAGACTATAGACTAGACTATAGACTAGACTATAGACTAGACTATAGACTAGACTATAGACTAGACTATAGACTAGACTATAGACTAGACTATAGACTAGACTATAGACTAGACTATAGACTAGACTATAGACTAGACTATAGACTAGACTATAGACTAGACTATAGACTAGACTATAGACTAGACTATAGACTAGACTATAGACTAGACTATAGACTAGACTATAGACTAGACTATAGACTAGACTATAGACTAGACTATAGACTAGACTATAGACTAGACTATAGACTAGACTATAGACTAGACTATAGACTAGACTATAGACTAGACTATAGACTAGACTATAGACTAGACTATAGACTAGACTATAGACTAGACTATAGACTAGACTATAGACTAGACTATAGACTAGACTATAGACTAGACTATAGACTAGACTATAGACTAGACTATAGACTAGACTATAGACTAGACTATAGACTAGACTATAGACTAGACTATAGACTAGACTATAGACTAGACTATAGACTAGACTATAGACTAGACTATAGACTAGACTATAGACTAGACTATAGACTAGACTAGACTAGACTATAGACTAGACTATAGACTATACTAGACTATAGACTAGACTATAGACTAGACTATAGATTAGACTATAGACTAGACTATAGACTAAACTATAGACTAGACTATAGATTAGACTATAGACTAGACTATAGACTAAACTATAGACTAGACTATAGACTAGACTATGACTAGACTAGACTACACTATAAACTGTACTATAGACTATACTATAGTCTAGTTTAGACTATAGGCTGGACTATAGTCGTACTTTAATTGAGTCTAGATTATAGTTCGACGTTTGACTCCTTTAGTATTGAAAAAATTTCTATTTTTCTAAAAATTGGACATAACATATTTAGTCCTAAGCAAGAATAGGTTCTTATTAAAATGGTCACTTTTAGCACTCATGCATGCAATTGAGTTTTATTTCTGCTGAAAATTATGATTTCAAACATACTGAAAATGAAAACAAAAACAAAAGAGATCCTGCAGCGATGATTTTTCATTTTTACAACAAACTTTCCCACTGAATGTCATGTTTTTTGTGGCTGCCACAGCAGCAGTGATATAAAATAAAAAATGCACAGAGAAAAAAAATTAATTTCAATGCGTTTAAGAAATTTTGTAAAAAAAAAGAAAAAATCAGCCAACAAATAAAACAGGAGACAAGTAACGGTTGTATGTAGCAAATATGAATGTGGTGGCACTACAAAAGTTGCCTGGAAAGATAAAACCCAGATATTAGCAACACATACGCAGACCAAGCGTGAAATGAAGAAATTTCTCATTTCAAAGTAGACTCAACAAAACAGCAAAAAAAAAATACGAACGAAACCTGTACATTATTTTTGTTTTATTTTTAAATTGTCTGTTGGCACTTTTGGGTCTGGACATTTTCTTCTTCCTTGTGAAAAACGCACACACTCAGTAATGAACAAAAAACAACAACTACTACTACATCTAGTGTAATGTAAACAAAACTTACCTTGTTGGGTGACACATGCCATGACCTTCGTGTACCCTGTCGTTGTGTCTGCTGCTGCTGCAAGTTTGAGGAGTTGCTGGTTACTGTTGTACAGCTTGTTGAAGATGTGGTTGTTATGTTGCTTTGACTGGCGCTAATATAACCGCTGCCACTACCATTGGCACTACTGCCGGAGCCACTGTTTATCGAGGTATTTTCATAAATGTCCGCCGAACAAATTGAACTATTTAAAGTGGCTGTACTGGCTGCCAACGAGGGACAGGGCGAAGAGGCTGGCGATGGTGAAAAACAACCCGAATCGTATGAATTTAAAATTCTCAAACGATTACCAGGACAAAGACCCTGCAAAAATAAAATGTTTAATGAGTCGTTTATAATTTGTTTTTCTGTTTTTATTTTTATTGTCTTTTCTTCATTTTTTTTCTCTTAATGTGTCTATTATTTGATTATTTTTATTTATATTTTTTAAATATGTATTTAATGAACCTTGAACAAGGAAGACATGTGGTTTTGCTTTGCTTAATTGTTTTTTACATGAAATTATGGATTTTCTTTTGAAGATTTTTTTTATTGAAATTTTTGTTTTTAAGTGCAAGACCAAGAGTAAAACGCCACTTGAACTGTTTGGAATATTTGTGGGTCTGGTATTTAAATTGACAAGAATTTTACAGTTTCCATTCTGTCGCCAGGGGAAAATCTGTAGGGCGTTGTGAACTTGCTGAATTTTCAAGGACTTTTATTACAATGGCAATTTATTGAAATAATTTGAAAATTGAAATGCTTTTTATGAACTGAGTATAATCTAGTTTTTAATCTTGCCTATAGTCTAGTCTATAGTCTAATCTATAGTCTGGTCCATAGTCTGTAGGGTCCAGTCTATAGTTTAGTCTATAGTATAGTCTATAGTCTAGTCTATAGTTTAGTCTATAGTATAGTCTATAGTCTAGTCTATAGTCTAGTCTATAGTCTAGTCTATAGTCTAGTCAATAGTCTAGTCAATAGTCTAGTCTATAGTCTAGTCTATAGCCTAGTCAATAGTCTAGTCAATAGTCTAGTCTATAGTCTAGTCTATAGTCTAGTCTATAGTCTAGTCTATAGTCTAGTCTATAGTAGTCTAGTCTATAGTCTAGTCTATAGTCTAGTCTATAGTCTATAGTCTAGTCTATAGTCTAGTCTATAGTCTAGTCTATAGTCTAGTCTATAGTCTAGTCTATAGTCTAGTCTATAGTCTAGTCTATAGTCTAGTCTATAGTCTAGTCTATAGTCTAGTCTATAGTCTAGTCTATAGTCTAGTCTATAGTCTAGTCTATAGTCTAGTCTATAGTCTAGTCTATAGTCTAGTCTATAGTCTAGTCTATAGTCTAGTCTATAGTCTAGTCTATAGTCTAGTCTATAGTCTAGTCTAGTCTATAGTCTAGTCTATAGTCTAGTCTATAGTCTAGTCTATAGTCTAGTCTAGTCTATAGTCTAGTCTATAGTCTAGTCTATAGTCTAGTCTATAGTCTAGTCTATAGTCTAGTCTATAGTCTAGTCTAGTATAGTCTAGTCTATAGTCTAGTCTATAGTCTAGTCTATAGTCTAGTCTATAGTCTAGTCTATAGTCTAGTCTATAGTCTAGTCTATAGTCTAGTCTATAGTCTAGTCTATAGTCTAGTCTATAGTCTAGTCTATAGTCTAGTCTATAGTCTAGTCTATAGTCTAGTCTATAGTCTAGTCTATAGTCTAGTCTATAGTCTAGTCTATAGTCTAGTCTATAGTCTAGTCTATAGTCTAGTCTATAGTCTAGTCTATAGTCTAGTCTATAGTCTAGTCTATAGTCTAGTCTATAGTCTAGTCTATAGTCTAGTCTATAGTCTAGTCTATAGTCTAGTCTATAGTCTAGTCTATAGTCTAGTCTATAGTCTAGTCTATAGTCTCGTCTATAGTCTAGTCTATAGTCTAGTCTATAGTCTAGTCTATAGTCTAGTCTATAGTCTAGTCTATAGTCTAGTCTATAGTCTAGTCTAGTCTAGTCTATAGTCTAGTCTATAGTCTAGTCTATAGTCTAGTCTATAGTCTAGTCTATAGTCTAGTCTATAGTCTAGTCTATAGTCTAGTCTATAGTCTAGTCTATAGTCTAGTCTATAGTCTAGTCTATAGTCTAGTCTATAGTCTAGTCTATAGTCTAGTCTATAGTCTAGTCTATAGTCTAGTCTATAGTCTAGTCTATAGTCTAGTCTATAGTCTAGTCTATAGTCTAGTCTATAGTCTAGTCTATAGTCTAGTCTATAGTCTAGTCTATAGTCTAGTCTATAGTCTTGAGATGACCGATCCAGTGATTTCTAAAGAACGTCGTCCTAAGTGAACGTGATTTGTATCTGACATCCTACTGTAAGAAAATTAAGATCAGTGGGCCGGTTGAATCGCTTGACAATAACTATCAATGTTCTGTGAGAATATCCAAATCTCAAACCATTCTTTATTAACATCATTCGACTCCCCAAGCATTTTGCTTTGAAATTGTTTGCTGATGAATTGTAGAATTTCCATTAATAAAATGCTTAAAGACAATTCATTTAATTCTCTTTTAAATTCATTTAATTTACAATTTCCTTTTTTATTCCTAAACTAAATTAAACGCTAAGATTGATTTAGATTTTTGCAATATGCAAAAATCACGAAAAAAAACTCCATCGGCAAACTGCAAGAGCTTACAAAGAGAGAATAAATATAAAGGAGTCACATCACATTGGGAGGGGGTAATCAAAATAAATTACAAATATTTTCAACTCGATGAACTAATTTTATGATTAACTATAATTTACCATGTCGTTGAATAATGTTTATAACTTTGTAAGACACACACACACATACAAAAAGTCTGTTCCAATGTTTTGCCTGCCAGCCAAGCACAGTCACTTCTCCCCAGTGTAGCTGATGAAAAGGAAATCTGTTTTAATTTTGATTGACAGACGAAGCATGAGTTTTTTTCATGCAGATTTGCAACATGTTTTAATGTTGTTCTTGATGTTTAAAAAGAAATCAAGAATGGCACCTAAACGTTTTAGTTTTTATTCATTCTTTAAGACTTATTTCACAGCAACACTTGTTTGATTTTGTTTCAAAATTTATTTAAATTTTGTTTCTTTTCGCTTTTTTCTGTTTATTACAGCTTGAAGGGTTATTCGCCATAAATGTACATAAAAAGACTTAGAACAAAATTTATTTTTAATTTCACGATCAGTCTACGTTATTTTTATACAAATCAAAATACCATAAAAAGATGATGCTGTTGTTTTTGTGAAAATTTAAAAATAAAAGTGAGTGTTAATGCAATGCATCCAGCCAGTATCATCATCAGCATGATCATGAAAATGATGATGATCTTATATGAGAATGAAAGTGTCTTAACAGAGTGAATATGAATGAGTGAGATCATGTTTGTGTTCTTCTTCCTCTGACACTTACCTGACGACCGCGTAATGTACACAGCCACCAACCAACGAGACCATCAGTGTCCTGTTCAATGACAGCAAGTATGTCGCCCTTTCTGAAGGCCAATTCATCGGGTGAGTCAGCTATATTATCATATAATGCTTTGGCATAGAGTTTCTAAAATTAAAGAAGAGAGTAGAGAAAGAAGAGATAAATTAGAAGTTATTTTTTTTTGTTTGAAAGATATGTAGAGGAGTAGAGAATCATAAAATTAAGATTCTGGGAATTGATATTTGTAGTTTTTTTGCATGAAAGATGATGTTTAAAGTTAAGACGTTTTAAGAGTCAGGAAATTTTTGAAATTCTTTATTAATGATATTTGTAGTGTTCACTGTTTAAGTAAGTGGACACAAGTTATGTTCTGTGTTCTTATAACCGATCTGTCTATAGTTAATAATATTGGCCAGAGTCCGTTTCATTTAATCTTGATTATAGTCTGGCCTATAATCTAGGCTGGAGTCTGGGTTTTATTCTTGATTATAATCTGATCTAGCCTATAGTCAGTGACTTAATCCTGACTTATCTTGTACATAGTCCTGACTGTGCTGTTGTCTATAATTTTGATTAGAATCTGGTCAGTATTCTTAACTGAACTCTGGTCCATAGCCTTGACATATTATGGTCTACAGTATTGATTATATTCTGTAGTCTGTAGTCTTGATTATAGTCTGATCTATAGCCTTGATCACACTATGTCTTGACAATAGTTTTGTCGGTTGTCTCGACTCTCGTCTATAGTCTTTACTCTAGTCTGGTCTATAGTCTTGATTATAGTCATGACTATAATCTGATTTGCAGTCTTGACTGTTGTCTGGTCTATAGTGTTGGCTACTGTCTTGTCTGCAGTCTTGTCTAGACAATAGTCATGATAATAGTTTAGTCTGGATTATAGTCTGGTCTATTGTCTCGACTCTACTCTGGTTTATAGTCTTGACTCAAGTCTTGTCTATAGTCTTCACTCAAGTTTTGTCTATAGTCTTGTCTATAGCCAGTCTTGACTATTGTCTAGTCTTTAGTGTGAGCTATAGTTTTGTCTATAGTCTGGTCTAGATAATAGTCTTCACTGCAGTCTTCATAATAGTTTAGTCGATAGTCTGGATTATAGTCTTGAATAGAGTAGCATTGACACATTTTGATCTACACTATTGACTATAGTCTGGTCTATAGCCTTAATCACACTCAGTCTTGACAATAGTTTGATCTTTAGTCTCGACTCTAGGCTCGTCTAAAGTCTTGACAAGACCCTTATAGTCTTGTCTTAGACATTAGTCTTAACTATAGTCTTGATAGTAGTTTAGTCGATAGTCTGGACTATATTTTGGTCTATTGTCTCGACTCATGTCTTGTCTATAGTCTTGACTATAGTCTGGTCTATAGTATTTACTAAAGTCTGGTTTAAAATCTTGACTAAAATGTTGTCTATAGTCTGGTCTAAACAATGGTCTTAACTATAGTCTTGATAGTAGTTTAGTCGATGAATAAACTTGATAGTAGTTTATTCTATAGTCTCGTCTATAGTCTTGACTCTTGTTTGGTCTATAGTCATGACTATAATCTGATCTGTAGTCTTGACTATTATGTGGTCTATAGTGTAGGCTATAGTCTTGTCTTCTTAACTATAATCTTGATAGTCTGGACTATAGTTTGGTTCATTGTCTCCACTCTAGTCTGGTCTATTGTCTTGACTCAAGTCTTATCTATAGTCTTGATTATAATCTGGTCTATATTATTTACTTAAGTCTTGTTTAAAATCTTGACTGTAGTAATGACTATAGTCCTATTCTTTCAGTCTTGACCAGAGTATGTTCTAAAATCTTGACTATAATCTGGTCTATAATATAAAATATATATTGGTTTGTTTTAGTGACTTTAAACTGGTCTATAGTCTTGACTAAAGTCTGGTTTGTTATCTTGACTAAAAATATGTTTCATAATCCATCTTAAAACCAATTATTAGATCTCATAACGCGCGACCAAATAACCTAAAAGCAACATATTGTTTTATGAACTCCCCTATTATTAGCTGTTTCTCTGTATAATTACTTCAGATTCTGTTTTGCAAAATTGCTCGCTGTTCTTCTACCCAATGTTCAAGTTCAAAAAGTTTAATATTTTTTTTTTTTTTTTGTTTTGTTCAAAATAAACTTCGTCTTTGTTTTAAACTCTTTTTTGTCGCGTTTACTTGCTTTGTTTTCATTTATATTTTGAAGTGTTTAAAATATTTCAAATTGTGTGTTTTTTTTTTTTTTTTTTTTTTTGTTAATTGTCAGAGTGTTTTTTAATGGCTTTAGAAAACAAAACCACACGCAACTTTGAAAAAAAAAAAACATTAAGCGGAAACTCTTTTTGAAAAAGTTTTGTTTTAAATAAAACTGGCTTGTAGTTTTTAGAGTTTTTATTTTAACCTTTTAAGTTGATGTGACTGTTGAATTTTGTTTCATAAACTAAATCATATTTATACAGGAGAAAAAAATACAATGTTTCACATTTTGACATACATTAACAAATATTATTACCACCACTTTAAAATGTCAAATTGTTGACTTCGTTGTAGAAGAAAAAAAAACAACGACATTTAACTTTACCACTCTACTTATGTAAAAAATTTGAACAAATTTTGACTTTTAAATGGCTGTGAAGTCGTCGTCAGTAATTTGTATTTATTTTACAATTACATTTGTAATTTTTAGTTTATAATTTATGAAATCACTTTCAAAAAAAAAAAAAAAAAAACACAAACTCTTACAATGTTGTACGTTACATTTTGATATTTTTTTTGTAAAACGAAGAAAAATTATATCTGATTGTATATCATGACAGTGTTACAGTTTTGTATCTAGATAAATTATGGTATTTTCTATACAAAAATGAAAGTTTTTATACAGATTAAGCTTTAGAGAATCTTGTAAAATGTTTTCAGTACTCAGTTTTGCTCTTAACGATTAAAGTGTTTTAAAAACAGGCATAGGCAAAGAGCTCTCTTATGAACTCTTTTGATTTCTGCCCTCAGACAGCTCAGTTGTCTTAAACAAAAACTAGTCAGAGGCATCAATTCTTACTATTTGCCGATGCCTGTCTTAAAGCTTCACTATCTTTTATTTAAAAACTTATTAAAAACTTTCTTATGGAACCACCCATAATAGTAGCTGGTAAAATTTAAATCATTTTAGACATTTGAAATAAAATATTGTTACTGCATTCATAAAAAATAATCAACCGGGGGGAAAAACTTTATTTTAATGCATTTTGCATGAGTAACAAACATTTGAATTTTAGAAAAAAAAAATGTTGTTTTCTTGTTCGAAATTTATTTTTATTTGCTTCTTTTATTTAAGTTTTTTTGTTGTTATTTTATTGTATACGTACTTTATTTACTTTTATTTTATATTATTTTTATTTTTACTTTATATGACACCATGCTAATTGAAAAAATCCACATAAAAATAGAAATAAAATAAAGAAAAACTGAACAAAAAGTAAAAACAAGATTTCAATACTCGTAAAGAGAGTGAACAAATGAATGAATAAATGTCTGTATCTTTCAAACGTTTAGTTTGGTTTTATTTTCATGCAAATGTACGGTACTCTCGCCGGAGAAGGTGTGTTAAGGTTGAGGAAAGGAGGCAGGCAGAAAAGGAAAGGAAGGGGGGAGAAAGGGGAGGAAACGGAGAGGACAAAAGAGGGGCAGTCAAAAGAGGAAAAGGGCAGAGGCGAAAGGAAGAACGAAACTAACGAACGGAACGAACAACGAACGAACGAAACGAACGAACGAACGAAACGAAACGAACGAACGAACGAACGAACGAAACGAACGAACGAACGAACGAACGAACGAAGAACGAACGAACGAACGAAAACGAACGAACGAAAAACGAAACGAAAACGAACGAACGAACGAACTAACGAACGAACGAACGAAAACGAACGAACGAACGAACGAACGAAAACGAAAAACGAACGAACGAACGAACGAACGAACGAACGAACGAACAAAGAACGAAACGAACGAACGAACGAAACGAACTAACGAACGAAAGAACGAAAGAACGAACGAAAACGAACGAACGAACGAACGAAAACGAACGAACGAACGAACGAACGAACGAACGAAAACGAACGAACGAAACGAACGAACGAACGAACGAACGAAAGAAACGAACGAACGAACGAACGAACGAACGAACGAACGAACGAACGAACGAACGAACGAACGAACGAACGAACGAACGAACGAACGAAGAACGAACGAACGAACGAACGAACGAACGAACGAACGAACGAAGAACGAACGAACGAACGAACGAACGAAACGAACGAACTAACGAACGAACGAACGAACAAAAGAACGAACGAACGAACGAACGAACGAACGAACGAACGAACGAAACGAACGAACGAACGAACGAACGAACGAACGAACGAACGAAACGAAGAACGAACTAACGAACGAACGAACGAACGAAACTAACGAACGACAACGAACGAACGAACTAACGAACGAAACGAACGAACGAACGAACGAAAACGAACGACGAACGAACGAACGAACGAACTAAACGAACGAACGAAACTAACTAACAACGAACAACTAACTAAGAACGAACTAACGAACGAAAACGAAACGAACGAAACGAACGAACGAACGAACGAACGAACGAACGAAACGAACGAAACGAACGAACGAACGAACGAACGAACGAACGAACGACGAACGAACGAACGAACGAACGAACGAACGAACGAACGAACGAACGAACGAAAAACGAACGAACGAACGAACGAACGAACGAACGAACGAACGAACGAACGAACGAACGAAAACGAACGAACGAACGAACGAACGAACGAACGAACGAACGAACTAACGAACGAACGAACGAACGAACGAACGAAACGAACGAACAACGAACGAACGAACGAACGAACGAACGAACGAACGAACGAACGAACGAAGAACGAACGAACGAACAACGCGAACGAACGAACAACGAAGAACGAACGAAACGAACGAACGAACGAACGAACGAACGAACGAACGAACGAACGAACGAAACGAACGAACGAACGAACGAACGAACGAAAACGAACGAACGAAACGAACGAACGAACGAACGAAC